ATGAAATTTGGGTTCCTTCAATTTCACATATCTTCCAGATATGCAAACTTCCTGAGGTAAATTAATGTAAACCGTTGCTTATCAGGAAGAAAGAATTCACCAAAAACCCTGAACAACACACTACTTGGTAGACAAAACAAGCAAGTAATTCCAGCCAAGACAGCTGTTAAGCCTTTGAGAAATTTCAAAGAAATTTTAACTTGCAACTAGTACCAAATATAGAATATTTAGAAAATACAAGTTAAAATACCTACTGCTCTCTGAAGTTATCTGATCTCTGATTTCTACTTTTAGCACAATATTTTAAGGTATACAATGGCTGTAGTTAAGTTTTTCTGCTCACTTTAGATTAAAATAGAAGATATTCTGAAATAACATTGGTATAGCACTACGTATACATTAAATGCCCACTATTTTATCACCCATGCTTGAAATATTTCTAAAAATCAATAGTCCCAAAATTATGTCACTGTTTTAAAGTTATTTTTTCCCCATTTCCTCTCAAAACCATCTACTTTATTACTTTTAGAGCCACTAAGACCAGTTCAGCGAATTATATTCCATCCATTATTACATTTCTTTTTAAAGCTTCCCTTCAGCAAGCACAGGGTCTGTATGAAATAGTGAATGCATGGGAAAGAAAACTTGACACTGAATCTAGAAAACCATATGTTCAAAAATAATTTTTCAATATGCTTAGAATGTTTTATATAAGATACAGCATATTTACACATTTTCTATTTGTGATGATCATGCAGTCCTTTGAACAGATTAGCAGCAATGAAGGAAATATTTTGAAAGATTAACATTTCCTGTATGCACTGTTAAGACTGGGTTTATAGTTCCAAAAAGGTTGTGGGTTAAACAATTTTATCTGAAGACAAGCAATGGAGAATAAGCAACTTCAGTTCAACGTCCAGAAAAATAGAAGATGGTCTTACACCTGGGCAATGCAAAAGCTGTGGGCTTTAGTGAGCTGCCAAGAAGAATTAATTCTGAGGACAGTCACAAAGGAAAAAAGCACAGCTATGGGTTTGGGTCCACTGAAACTCTGAACAAGACAGATCATTCAGGACTGGAGCTAACTGACTGGGATTCAATGCAGTTTCTTAGGCTTCAGGAAATGAGGCATGTACACCCGCGTGCACAGATCTCCATTTCAGTTCCACTTAGACCATTCCACAAGTAGGGGAACTAAAAACTACTTAAGGCACAGAATTATCTTACATCTGAGATTATGGGCCACTCCCATGTCTGCCACAAAACATTAGCCAATAAACTGAGGAGTTTTCCAAAAATGCTTTCTTTGGAGAATTAAATTACCTTCGTAGATGTAAAAAAATCCAATCAGTGCATTTTCTGAACATGCTCCCTAGGTCTTCTCTTTCTCATAAATATTAATGTACAAAATCAGAGGCCAAGTCATTCCAAAATTCATACACTATGTATAAATCTAGAAGTCTTAATGTGGTATTAGCACACAGAAACGGTAAACATCACACTTGGTTTTTAATACATTTAAATGTTGAGTATTTTCCAGTAGAACACTCCCAAGGGACCTAATTAACCAAATGATGATTTTTCAGATTAGCAAAGAAGCTAGATATGTAGAGGAAAATACAGGCTAAGAAGTTTGAATATGCACTAGTGATAAGCATATGTTTTAATCTCTGCTCAGTGTAGTTGCATGATGAGAAGAACTGACATTTATTTTCTTCTTTTTACGGGGTGGCCCCGGGTTATATAAGGTTATTTCACATGAAGACTCAAAATCTCATCTGTCAATTCTCCCATTTGTGATTATATTAACATAAATTAAACCATTATAACTGAACAACCTCTAAGCCAGGAGAGGATGATTCATAATTAATTGATGTCTGGCATCAGTGTCAGGAAAGATCTTGGCTTTATGGCTAGCTGGAAATTAATGACAGTTATTTCTTTATCAGATGACAGGTAGAATAAAATAAAGATGAAAGAAATTTGAAGTATCAAAATACTAAACAATACAAATCAGAGCTGCCCAGTAAATGAAAATGGTTTCATTCACCCAATAGCAAATCAGATAAGTCTCCCACAGAAATCACTCTGACAATCTGATTCATTAACCAAAGTTTTAGAAAAACTGTTTAAAACTACTATTCTATCTGCCATTGAACCAATACATAAGCAATGACAAATACTACCCTTTACCCTGAGTGAGCTCATGGATGTATCTTTAATGCTACCCTTTCAAAATGTTAAGTCTCCTAAAACACAGTCCTACTGATATTTTAGTATGCCCCTAAAGGAAGGACCATGAACAGAAAATTAGTCACAATGACAGAAAGCTTTTATATTCAGTTGAGGATACATATGACTTTAGCACGTTATTCCTTGTAATTTCATTTTTTCACAAATAAATCACACTGAATGTGAACAGTACTAACAGGCATTTTTAAGAGTTTAAAAATGAAAAATATTTTTAGAAGTTTGCTAACATGTTGGTAACTGTTCATAGACTGTGTATATCTATCACATTAATGTACACATGTATGTGCAAGAGTAAGTGATTTTCATTTAAAAAGCAGTATCATTAGTTTTTGCTGCTTCACTATTTCAGACATTAAGACACTTATTTTTCCTATGTAAGAACAAAGTAAAACACTTTTTTATTTAATAAGAAATACAGTCTAGCTTTTACTGCTGTACATAACAAATATTTTACATATACTTCTACTCTTCTATTGAATTATACAAGAATGCTATGGATGGTTTGTCAGATCTCGATTAGCTCATTTTTCATAATGCTCTCATGACACTTTATATCATTTACACAAGGTTTATTTGTCAAAATCCCATAGCACCTTTCTGACAACAGATGTTTTGAAATGCTTCCTATTTTGCTTGGCAAAGGCTTATTTTAATGGGTTTTACAGTATGATTTCAGTGAAGAATTCAGTGTTGATTTAACTCAGTTTCAGAAAAATAAGATTCATAAATGTTCATTCTGTAACTCATATAAGGCACTTTTAAAGCAACCAGCCTTATAAAATGTAGGTTTTTTTCCAAATAATCATTCACTCTAAATTATTCCGCGTAAGTCCTTTATGTAATGACTTCTGCTTGTTTCTTTGTTTTTCCCTCCTAAATAGCATGCAACTTTGAATCCACAGGTACTTTATGTACCACTTTACTCATCAGGAATATACGCAGCAAAAGATACAATGGATTTTTCTTTCAGCAGGAATTCTTATGGATGAGCATAATTCTGAGACCTTAATGTAAATCAATGGATAAATTATCACAATGTCTCCATTTGAAGGATTCTTCAAATAACAAACTTGGGGGTCTAGTGCTGCAGACTGCACAAGTAAATAGCCCTTTTCCTGATTATTCTTACTGAAATCACGTGTAGCAGTGGTATGGGTTAACAGCTGAGATATATTTTAATCTAGTTTTCTTATTCAAGAATGTCACAAAGTGCTTTACGAAAAATGAATGAATGAGGAAGGCTGAGTTCATGAGTCTCTTTAAAGCCTCTTCCTACCTAAGAAAATGTTTGGCATTTTGGTCCTGTGAGACAGTCATCTCCTCCTCAAACCATTATATAGTCAAATACAGAGTTTTTCCCCAAATAAGGCTGCACAGGTGGTCGAGAACAATTGTTCAGTTAGCAAATCCCCCTCAACTAGTTTTCACGAATAAGTATCACATGTGTAAATTCACTATCATAAACCAAGTACTCTATTACCTGTTTGAGCACACATGCAGACTGTCTAAAAAGAAGCCACCATAGGTTTTTGCCACTGATATTTTCTCACTCGTCTTCCCTATACCACAGTACTACCTAAGAATGGCAAGATTTGGCTTGCACTAGGAGTTACAAGAAACAATCCTTACAGCAATAAAGTCATGTAAAAATAAAATTGCATGGAATTTGTCATTTATGCTATTTCATGTGTAAAGCATGGCAAAAAGCAGGATCAATCAGGACAGATCACTGATTATGCTTCTTAAAATTATCTTCTGACCAAACCTGGAGAGTAGCTATAGTATACATACCAAACTACAACACATGGTGGCATTCTTCAGTGTAACAGGGTTGCTTGTACTTCACCACTGACTTGTAGGTATTAGCCAGGTTTTGAGTGATACTTAACTATTTCACTCTTCATCATACAATCCCTTTGTTCCAAAACTACTTGTTTCCTGAGGATGAGTACAAGATAAGTCACCAATATTTCTGAACGCTGTTAAATATCGAGTTCAATACCACAAAATAAAAAAAAGAAAAAATAAAAATAGAGAAGTCACTGCAGTATCATTTAACTCCTTTTATTTCTAGGGTTCTAATACAAAGTGCTAGGTAAAATGCAGTCACCATGGTACTAGTTTAAGCCATCTCCGATGACTACCAGCCATCTACACCAAAGAACTGCCTGCTAAACTTGTGGGTGTTTATGAAGAGGGCCTTGACCTGGGCATTCACAGGGATGACAAGCAGCTCTCCTACTGCTGCCGGCTGTGCCGGTGACTAGGGAGTCACCGGAACCCTGCACCATGGCCAGGCTGCACCTGCTAAAGAGAAGCGGGCAAGCGACAGTCCCCAGGCGCCGAGCACTTAAAAACCCTTCCACACTGTGAGCTCTTTGTCCTTTAAACAGAAACACTGGCGAGACGGGGACACACGGGCAGAGCTCCCGCCACGCCGCCTCCCTGAGCCGGCGGTCTCTCTACCCCGGCGCCCGCCTGCCGCGATCACCACCCAAGCCCCGGGGCGGGGCGGCAGCGCAGTCACCAGGCAGGCGGGCGGTCCCGACCGACGGCCGTGCCCCCAGAGCCCTACGCCCGCCGGCAGGGACCGCGAGCCGCCCGCCGGGAGGAGCAGCGGTTACCGCCTCCCGCCGCGGCGGCGCCCGGCCCGGCCCGGCCCGGCCCGGGAAGTTTCTAGCCACAGGTTGCCCTCTCCCGCCCGCCTCCCCCGGACCCCGCGGGCGGGCCCGGCCACAGGGACGCACCTTGGCGCCGCAACCGCCGCTTCTTGAGCCCGAAGATGCGGACCTTGGAGAAAATGTCCACCAGGTTGCCATTGCAGAGCCCGCGGTTCTTGCTAGGGCTATTCCGCCTCCTGCTGGCCGAGGGCCGGTCCCAGTGCTGCTCCCTCGCCTGCCGCTTCTGCCGGATCAAGCCGCTGGCGATGGCCGCTGCCATGGCTGCTTGCCGGCTCGCCCACGGGCAGCGGGGAGGGCGGCGGCGGGGCTCAGCCCCGGCGGGGACCCATCCCCGGGGGCGCGGGCGAGCGGGAGCCTTCTCCGGGCCGAGGCGCGGCTACAGCGGGTCACTCCCGCCCTGCGGCCCGCAGGAGCTGCCGCCGCCAACGCGGGTCACCGCATGGGTGCCGCTCCCGCCGTGTCCCGGCGCAGGACCACCTGCTTGGGTGGCGGGTGTCCGCGGGCTGGCTGGTGGCGCCGAGCAAAGCGGGACGAGCGGGACTCGGGGCAGAGCCGCGCCCGGTCAGGGCGGGTCGGGCCGGGTCGGGTCGAGCCCGACCGGCAGCGTCGCCTCCCGGGGTTGCCCCTCAGCCCCGCGCCGCCGCCTGCTCGCCTGGCGCTGCCATCGCCGCGGCCGGGGCGGCTACCGCCGCCTGTTCCAGGCTCCCGCCTGATGATTGCCAAGTGCTTCAGAAATCAGCATCTGGAGAGAGCAATCTTCTTCTCCGGGGAGAGCTGTAATCACGGCTCTTCAGTCCCACCCCGCTCCAGCCTCCCCTACACACGCACGCACACACACAGAAATGCACGCACCGCTGGAGCTTATTTTGTCCTCCCCAAGGCGAGGGGCGGCGAGGGTGCCAGGGGTGGAGGAGGGACGGGGGACAGGCAGGAGAATAAAGCAAAGGGGGGCGAGGGGCGGAGGAAAGAGGTGCTGCTGAAGCGGTTCTCTGGTGGGAAGCAGCGGGTTCCCGGCGGATCCGCCGAAAGCTGCCTCTGCTCTCTCTCAGCTTTCGGGATTGATTCGTACTGGGCTCCCGCCCTGCGGCTCACGGCCCTCCCCGGCCATGCTTCTTCGCACCAGCTCCCTGCCGCCTTTGCCGCCGAGCCTGCGGTGATGCCAGAACCTGCCCCCGTTCCCGAGCGGGGAAGCTGTGGGGCAGAAGAGGGAGGGCGATGGGGAACCCGCCCGTCTGCCCTTCCTCGCCCCACGCCTCGGTACCGGTCGGGGCATGTAGGTGTAGTCCGGCGGGAGAGGGGTTCCTGCTGCATGCGGAGGTGTTAAGAGCCCTGAGGAGCACTCACACGTACGAGGCGGAGGGTACTTTCCACCCAAACCAAGACGCGATCTTTGGGAAGAGAAGGTTATTGCACCAGTACACTTTTACCTCGGAATGCTAACTGGTTTCCGAGGTTTCAGAACCACCAAAAGAATTCCACTACCAAAAGGGCACCCACAAACAGCCGCAGTAGATAGATTTATCTATCACCAACACTTTACTGTGAGGGTGGTGAGGCACGGGAACAGGTTACCCGGAGAATCTGGGAATGCTCCACCCCTGGAAGTGTTCAAGGCTAGTTGGATGCGGCTTTGGAGCATTTGACTAAGCCCCAGCCAAGCTCGCTAGACACAGAATGCCTAAGGAGTCTCTGCCCCAAGAAGTCTCTGCCCCCAAGGAGTCCGCAATATGCTGCAGATAATAAATACCATATAAAATATGATATTCCATCTCTTTCCGTTCATCTTTTCTGTTGGGTCTTCTCCCTTTTCAAACAAGGGGTCAATGTTTTCTGGATTTACTTTCTGCCAGGCTAATGGTTAAACTTCCTGAAGTTGCAACTAATCAGAGGCAAGTAGAAAAAGGAAGCCAGCAGCTACACAGAAAAAAAAAAATGCAGGGTTATCCTATAAGGAAGGACAGATGCTCACACAGGGAAATATCATGTAATAAATATCTGACTTTAATAATGTTTTAAGAATACTCTAATTTCTTATTAGATGGTTCTTTAGAGAAAACAGACTTTGAAGTGTAAATATCTATCCAGCATAATTCACTGCTTTGCAATGCAGAAACTCCTAGGAAAGTGTAAGTTCTTGTTTCAGCAGAGGCTTCAGCATCTCCAATACTGACCTTTATTTCCCTAAATCCTTTAATCTATAAACGGCTATTTTTGTAAGGAGGGCAAAAGTGTATGGTGGGAACTCCCTTATACAGGGATTTTGTATTAATGCTAGACCAACTAGGAGCAGAACATGCACAATCGGATCTGGATAATACATTTTAATTCTATTTAAGAGTGTCTCTAAAGAGATTCAGCTAAAACGCATTGGATTTTCTATCTGGTGATTTTTACAGAGCAGCAATTTCCTTACAACAGTAACAATTACCTTAACTAATGTAATTAGACAGTGAGGTGGGTTTTCTTATTTAGATTACGCTGTTACAGTTTTGCATACTGCTTCTTTTCCTTACTTCCCAACAGCAGACAAGACATGGTATTGCCTTCTTTAAGTGTCCTCAAGACAGAAGCCCTCCTCCAAATGCTGTCCCGGTGGGCCCCCCAACCCCATCCCTGGTCCTGTCCCTGGTCCTTGTCCCAGTCCTGGCTGTTCATGCCCGATGGACAGCTGAGCAGAGGCTGGATAAATGTGGCTCTGGGACCTCCCCTGCCACTAGAGGAAGAGGTGACAGGACACAGCCCAATGGCTCCTACTCAACCTGTCTCCAAACAAAGGAATGAATGAGAGGGAGTAGAGTGAAATAAAGGCCAATCCTCCACTGTCTTTAATTTTTACAAGAATTTAGGAGAGGAATACCTACAGCCCTAACTTTTGCACAAGAAACTCTCCACAAAGATGTAGGTTCCACATTTCCTTTCACTGGAAGGGCCTCTTTATATTATCCAATCATGCTATGCACTATATACTATCTACTACTATTGTTCCCTTTCCTTAGTTTCCTTCAAATACTGGGCCTTTGCCAAAGTGCATTGACATTCCTCAATATTATGATTCTCAGGGTGATAGTAAAGAAAGGAAAGAATGAAGGTGAAAATGGGCAGGATGCCTATAGACAAGAGAAAATGTGATTCTTACTCCAGAGATCAAAAACAATAGCTTTCTCCTTGCATCTCAGAAATGCGGAGCAGTTGTTTACAGTTCGAGGTTTTGCAAAGAAAACTCAAGAGAGCCATCTGCTGTCTTAACCTGTGATAAAATGTGTGCAGTTCCAGTCAAAGTGAAGGTTCTGCTAACAGATGGTTTGTACAAGTATGAATATATCGGCTACCTTAAAGACTAGTGACTGCATGAGTTTATACATTCAGGACAAATGGAAATATCTTAGCTTTAACTTTTGGAACAGTATGACAGAATTTTATTTCTGAGTAACAAAACTGAGGATATGAAAACAAACGATTAAAAGCAAAAGAGGGGGAGAAGTGATTTTCAATACTTTCTGTTTTCCCATCTGTTCATTTCTAACTGCTAATTTATTATTATTATTATTCAGGAGTTTTCTAAACCAAAAACGTTTCAGAATATTTAAAATTACTTGCTTGAATTAATTTTGGAGGAAAACACTCAACAGATATAAAGTGTGCATAAAATGCTTTATCGTATACTAGGGTATCAAACCTTATTATCCTAAATTTATTTTTTTTCTGTATTACTGGGGACAAGCCACATTCTGTTTCATCTAATTTAAAATGTAAATTGCAGTGTGGTATTTTCAAACATCAAAGGTCAATATTAAAATGTACACTGCTAATATTTGTGTATATACATGTAATAGTGACACATAAAATACTTTTATAAGGGCTTCCATGATGAAAAATGAGATTTTATGCTTTATATTCTAGCCTAACTTAGATCTATAGGCTGTAAAGTTTACAGAATCAGAAATGTAATCCTTATGGTTTAAAGAATTGTGTTTGCTGGCTTGTTTTATTGTGTTTGGGGTTTGTTTTCATTATTATTTGTGTATTTTAATATTTTTTTTCTCCCACTTGTATGTTTTGCATTAGGTTGGAAAGAGTTACAAGTTACAGAGTCATTTTTGGTCAACACAGATATGAAAACCCTACAAACTTCATAAACAATTTCATAAGACATAAAAATGTCTTTCTACAGGTACACACATACACACACTCCACCCACATTTTCTCCTCCCAGATATCTTGAACCTATTCTTTATATTAAAACCAAATCAGATCAAACCCTAAGACAAATATCCCAGGAAGATGTGTGCTATAGTTGCAAACAAAGTTAATACCTTACTCCTTAAAACTCCATTCAAACTTCAAAGGCTATTCTAGGAGTAAAAGTACCAATTTAGGCATAACAGTTGCAAGGTATGCTTAAGAGTACATCTGGGCCACTGGGAGCATTTAATGTCATTCTAAGCAGAGATGTCTCAGCAGTGAAAAAATACTTGTTTATAAATTCTGATGGATACATTTAATCAACATTCTGGTGCTTTTGATAAGACATCAGACTGATTACCAAAGGGCTTTTATCAGCTAAGGTTGTGGTTCTGAACATCTGTTGGTACTGATCAAAAATTTATTGAAGGTTGCTGGTAATTTGGAGGACCGTAATTCAAGTGTCTGAATTCAATTTATGTACTAAGACACCTCCACTCCCACAAAACTGCCTCAAAAATGGTTATTCATATAACTACAAACTAATACTTGTGCAAGGCACACAGTTTGTACATATGGCGGGGGGATGTTGTTGGTAAGAAATAGTAACTTGCAGTTCTCTATTTAATTTTCTTGGGACACAAAGAGCTATAACTTTACAACTTGAAGGAGGTGAGAGAAATATAATCTATGGCTTACTCTGCAGGTTGGTAAGGGTTCAAAGTTAAAAAAAAATAAGCTAGAAAAACACGTGAACATAAAAGGTCATTTTTTTCATACGCGTATGAACATACTAAAACATGGGTGAGAAATTCTTTTCCATATAGTTTATGTGCATTCTGTGTTTATTGTAAGAGTAGTATGGTTATGCAAGGAGCTTTTTTAAGTTAGGTCAGTTTTACATGTTATCCTATGTTGTTACGGATATAATTCTCCTTATAAGTTGTTAACTTCTCAGAAGACAATGCACTGTGAAGCACTGTAATTTAAAATCCTTACCACCCTGAACACTTGATGCTGGTTGATTAAACTTTGATGAGCATTAGGAACAAAATTTATTAAACATACTAATATAGTTGACAGAATTTGGGTATCTATACTTTCACACTTTCTCCATCAAAAGCACTCAGCTTTCAGTCTCAACATTCACAATGCACTCAAGGAGACAAAGTCATACCTACTGAAACTGTTGACTACTTAGACCTTCTATGTATTCAGTATATTTTAATAGGTATGACTTTGGCTCCTTGAGTGTATTGTGTTAAGGTGAATCCCTTTAAATAAGATTAAAGTAAGTTTCCAGTATGTTGTTTGAAGAACTGCACGTATTTTAGCTTCACAGGTTTTGGTCCTGCTAAACTTCATGTATCTGAGTCGTAAGAAGAACTATTAAAACGTAATTAGAATATATGTAAGAATAAATTAATCTGCCATGCAAGGAAGTCCTACCTCAGGTTACTAGTTATGCAGAGAACTATCAACGTCACCATTACTAGACATAAGATCTAAGGAAGTATAAATGTCTATGCCCACTCAGAGCCAATGTGTTAGTGCAGTATTTGTTCTACATTGACTGGTGACATCTTTTACACATTATCTGGAATATGTCGGCAACTGGAAGGACTGAGTACCTCTGCACTAGTAAGGATTCAGCTTCATTCAGGGAA